TCCACAACGACGTCAGATAACCGCGCGCCCCGATACGCCAGCGTTACTCGTCACTCGAATCGAAGTCGATAGGGATTTCGGCAGGAAAAGGTTGGACGCCGGCCAGCCCCCGCGGCGTGCCAGAGATCTTTCCAGAACGTGTGGAGGACGAATCAACCTGAAAGCATTACGCTGGGTAATTGAATGTCAGCAGTAGGGAAACGCGGAGCACGGAAATACAAATCCGTGAAACGCGGTGCTGTTATCTGTGCTTATATTTTCAGAGAGATCTACCTTGAACCACAACTCCCAGAGCGTCGCATCTCTGCATCCGGCAGAAGTCTGTGCGAATTCTCTGGGTGCCCGCATTTAGCGAGCGGCTTCGTTGCCACAGGGGCTCTGGAGACAATAACGACCTGCTGTTCCTAATTTCGCTTCCATTTCGCCTCACACTGCCGAAGTGCTAACGTAAGAAAAATGTTCATCGCGCCACGATAGGTCGCAATATTAAAAAGCTGGCTGTAAATGGAGTGGTAAGAAGTGATGAGGAAGACATGCTGCCTGTTTCCGACTGCGAGGACGAGGAGGCACCTGCTAAAAAGCGACCGAAAATCTGGCAAGACGCTGACGGTACCAACAGAGTGCAATATGTAGAGGATGCGCTGACCGAATACTACACCTCAGAAAAATCTAACGGGATATGAGATATATTAGCATTGTTCTATAAGGTATTTTAATAAGATCTAAGACCTGCAAAATAAACGTTGTTCAAGCTTACGAGTTTACCCTTCTTGGTCGAATTTACCCTTCTTGGTTCATTTTACCCAAATTCCAAGGTTGGGTTTCCTGGTGCCTTTTGCTAACGTAGGCTCGCTCATTGGAATGATCGTGTTGAAGTTTTGGAGTGAATCATGAATCCATGAGAGCTTGAGGCATCTTAATAGTTCACCGGCAGACAGGTCCCCAGCTTTACTGACCAGTTTCATTTTACAGAAACATGTACCGGAATATAAACTGTGGAAGAAAGCCATCGAAGTATTAGCCGCGAACGGAACGGAAACGGATCGGTGTTTGTTAACAACGGAATGGAAAAAAGGCTTTTGGAGTAGCCTTTCCAGTGCAGGAAATTCAAGTAAACAAGCGGGTAAACGTGTAATCTTTGTGCAAGGCCATGCTGCGCCATGCCAAGTGCTGCCCAGTTTTACGAACATATTATATTATTTTGTGCAGCTGATCATGACATGTAAGAAGCTTATGTACAGAGAAACATTGCAACATCAGTAGACAGTAAGTAACATAACGTACTGTACATTTATGTTCATCAAGTGTGGCACGTAAAGCGTCGTTTGCGGATTACGTATCAGCCTCTCCATCCGGTACTCCTCCGTCCATGGCAGACGTCCACATTAGTGTCAACGTAATAAGATTTTATGTTTTTTCATACAAACTAGATGTGGACTCCAAAAGGGATCTCATGGCCGATTTGGATGCGATATACCTGCGCCTGGGAGAAGCAAATAACCTCGTATCCAGTTAATAAACTACTTCGTTTTTGCCACTTTTTGTTGGATATCAATCTTAAAGACCGAAAATTCCTTTACATTATTGCTTTTGCTGTTTTCGAGTCCATCATCAGTTATTATTTACTCACCCGGCTGACCGAAAACGTTTTGGTCGGGTGTCTTTTATACCAGATTTCCTGGAACGATCACCTGAGAGCAAAATGGTACCACAGTACCACTTAATACCACGGTGGTATAGAGTGATTATTTATGGGATGCACATGGCTACGACGAAAAATATTCAGTGAGTCAAAGTATATTCGTATACTTTGTGCCTTTAAAACTTTGAACAATAAACAGAAGTTTTTCTGTGCACAATTTCCTCCTTATCACATTTTCTGTAACAACAGTCAACCGGCGGCCACGTAATACAGAAAACCCAAATAGCGCCTCAGCCTGCTGACAGCAGCGTCGTTTGACAGCGAGAGTGAGTGAGAATGAGTGACAGCGAGATTGAGACGGAGGCTGGCAGCCGATATTGACATACTCGTAGTACTCGTACTTCGAATACTGCCTTATATGGGCTCCCCTTATATTACTCTCCCTTATCTGGGCTCCCGGCTAGTTTGCAACACCCGTCAAATTAAATTTATCGGATTTATAGTAGAACCCTTTTCTACTTCTTTCAATCGGATTTACCATTAAGCCCACCAAAGAATTCCGAAATTTAATATACGAATTATATTTATATATTTTATTTATATATATTCTTCCATTAATTTCAACCGAATCTGCCAATGAACAAATTGAAAAATGCTACAAAATTACTGGCAAAATAAGTATTTTAAATAAATCAAAATTTTCAGTCAGTGATAACACACTGATAACAACTGCGAAAGTGTGAGTAATAACGTAACCGCCCATGTAGAGGGTTGCTCATATTGCTCGGGAGCCCAGATAAGGGAGAGTAATATAAGGGGAGCCCATATAAGGCAGTATTCGAAGTATTGATATACTTCGGTATTGATATACTCGTAGTTAATCCTAAACAGATAGAACATAGAAGTACCATTTCTATTACAAAATTTCTATTGGCGAATGCTAACGCGCAAGTGATGTTATTGTCGTACTACTCGTAGTGGATATAAAAACTAATTACGTTGGACTACGAAGTATAGCTTATACTAGATGTCGGAGATGGTATCACAGAAATGCCTAAAACAATGTATTATATCACACCTGCTCGAACTTTTCTTTTTTTTTCTAGTTCTAACTTTAGCTGATAAAGTATAGTAAATCTGGCCTGTTTTATAAGTCGACAAAATACTGAATAATGTTTGCTGTAAAAACTAAAACAACCGGAAACCGAATGCAACATGTCTGCCCCTACAAATGGAAATGCGTAGCGGACGAGAGAAAATTAAACTGGCTTTCAGAAAATTAATGACCTGTTTCTGATTGTATCGTTGCCTGATATCGAAAACAGATTGCTCATATGGCTCTACAGTAGATCTAAGGCTTCCGAAGACATTGGTGCAATTTAACCGTAGTAATGGCAAACCGGTGCGTCTGGGACTGTATAATCGGCTACACCACATTGCTGTTATTATTATCACAATTATCGGGCTTTGAAGTAGGTACGTGGAATATATAATACCACAAAATTTTGAATGGAATAAAGATTGTAGGTAGCCTCTGATGAAAGTTATCGCACCCCTGGAGCTACCCGAAAAGCAATATATAACGACAGGTTACAGACATGGACCATGTTTTAAATGTAACGCGGCAACTGGTTAGTGGTATAGGCTTAGCTGCTCGCAATAAATAGCGTTGCACACCAGTTTTTCACTGAAGTACATACATCCACTGTAATCTCATGGGTGCCAACTGCCAAGGCGTACATCGTACTAGTATACTGCATGTACATTTGATATTTACCGCGTTACAGAAATGGTACTTCTATAATTATCGAAGTAGTAATAATATAAATTTAATCTCTAGTTCTAGCATCCGCTTACCTAGCAGGGGCGTCGTCATGATCGCAGCCACTGTAAATACGAGTAACAGCCATTTCTGTTTCACTTTGGAACCCGATAGCTCCAAGACCGTTCTCGCTTACCGGAAACAAATCCTTAAATGTTTGTACTTTACACAAACTGAGGTTGCACCAAAGTTGTGTAACAGTACATGCAACTATGTAAGCATAGTGCACTGTACACTGAGCGATTACCTTTTCAGGTTCTGAAGTTTTAAATACTTTTTTTATTATGATTGCGTAAGTATTTTATGAAAAAAACTATTTTTGAAATATTCTACAATAGGATACTTATTATATTTTTTAATTATTATTTTATTAAAAAAATATTATTCAGTATTATATTCTAAATTTTTTTCATGTATTGTTATATTTTGTAAGTTTTACATCCTATTTTTTTAAAATTTTATAATAGTATTCTCGTACTTGTTTTTTTTTAAATAAAATTGCATTTAACTAAAAAATTAATATTTTCGAATTTCTGAGATCGTAATACGCTGGCAAACTTTGTGGTACAGACATTTAAGTATAGAAGGACGCTGCAAAAGCATTCGGCTGCAAGAGTATTCGGCGCATTAATAAGTGCATAACCAGTTTTCCAGTAAACGGCCAGCTGTAACGTGAAAGAGGTAAATACTTTCTGAAAAAAACTACATAACACCTAATTTATTATGGCAGCACATTCCAGAACATGCATAAATAGAGTTCACGTAGTATCAGTTCAAAGCGAAAAAATAATTACAGAAAGACCATACTCGTATTAAGGGTTAGTGAAGGATGTGGACTCATGGAAATGGTCAATTCTGTCCGCTGACTTTGAATCTACTCAATTCTTACAACTACATTTTACAAAGCCGCTCCTGGGGTAGTGCATGACTGCCTGCCCATATTCCATTAGGCACCGACGAGCAATTTGAGAAATAATTGCAGACAACCCATACCAAATATCTGGAACCAAATAAAAGATGCCGCCACATAGGTTTAAAATTAAAGGATAGTTATGAAACGTAAAGTGCTGCGGTAGTTTCATTTGCTTGTACTCTTTTAAACGCTTGTCTCTATTTTCAGTCTGCAAATGACTTTCTTTATTAAAACCCGTTTGGCAATTTACGTATTTACCAAAAGTCTTAAAAATCCTGCATTGCATCCTCAAATTTCGCAGAGAAATGTACCTTTTTCTGTCTTACCTGATTTCAGAAATTTAATGAATTCTCCCTTCGTAGCTCTGGACGATCAGCTCGAAACCGACTGCAACCAAACCAGTACAACCAACGATAAGGTAATTGCATCCACGCCGCCAACTGAATCGCCGTACCGCACTGACAATATAACACAAGACGCCGCAGCTACCCCTCGTCAGAATTCTGATATAATTTAATGGTAGCTTTTGAATTACATGTAGATATTAGAGGCCATGTAATAATTCTTACATTTATACCAAAATGACCGATTTCGATATGAGTAATAGATGTAAAATATATTTATTCAGGTAGATCACAGCGAGCTTGTTTTAAAGCACACCGGCGATGCCATTAGCAATACAGCACGATCCTTTACACGTTCATCACGCAAAAACTAATACTGTAGTCCATGAATAAAAACGCTTCTAGCAAATCAGCATAAAATCGTTAAAAAGATAGCATGCAGCAGTCAGCAGTAAATTCTGAATGTCGACATCCATGCCTTCTACGGCGAATCCGCATTTTGGAAACAACGCAAAAGGGCAGTCGCACATCCATCCTGCAAAACAATTAATTAGCGCATTTAAAGCACTATTAGATTCGACATTTTTGGTGTACGTTCCGCTGCGCTCAAGTGACATGAAAGAATTTTTCTGCACTTTGAAAAATTAGTTCTGTGTAGCAGTGTAGCATGCATGATGACATGAATTGTAGTGAAGTTGCTCGTCAACAGAATTAGAATTAGTCTTCCAAACGACTATGCGGAGAAAAACCAGTAATCATTAATCATCAAAATAACTATCAAAATTAAAAACATTAGTTTTTTCAGAGCTTTTAAGAAACTTTTCTTTATTTTCATGTTCTTTCAAGTTAAAACTGACAAACTGCTAACAACAAACCTATATTGGTTTTGAAATTTTGTTTTTTGTTAATTAAAATAAAATAAATGTCATTTTACCGCCATAGGCAATTAAAATGGTTATTTGCCATAAAATTCAAAACTAAATTTCAAGGACGCTTGCATGTCGACATGCACTAATGCAAAATCAAGATTTTTGCTGAAAGTTCGTTTTAAAGAAGTTTAAATACTTTATTATGTTATTGACAGTAGATTTAGCCACGATCTTTTTTTGTACAGTAAACTCATTTTAAATAAAACCGTTAGTGAAATGCCCGTCTTTTACGGTCAGTTATCACGCACGGACCTGCTATCTTACTGCATGTCTTCATGCATATTGTTCCCGTTGAGCAACACCTTCCACCGACCTGTAAACAAAAAAATTGACTCAAGATTGGAATACTAGTAAATTTTTTGTTAGTCTAGTGTTTTACACCTGAGGCTGACAATGATGGTCTCACCGTAAGATCAGCAGAAACTTCCTTGGGTCTTGTTAACTTCACAGCCGAGATCGTGTTCTTGCGTGCACTGTCAAAGACGCGCTGCGCCTGGCAGCTCTGCAGAATAAACACTATCATGGCTCACAACTTCACGTTAATGATACAAATGGATCTGGCTGTCGACAGCCATATAACAAAAAACTTGAGCTGGTTAAGCAGAATCATAATTATTAAAAAGCAAAACTTTCAGAAAGTTAAAAATGTGGTTTTTGAAGTTACTTTTCAGAAGCAAGGGCGGCACAACGGCGCTGAACGTGAACGTGCTGTGAATGCTGAAGTAACAAGCTCAACCAATCAGAGGAGGCATAACAGCAGCTTTTAATGACTAAGCTTTGCAGCAAAAGTTTAACTGCCGACGCTCGTGCACTTGCACGCTAATTATTTTGTAAACAACTGCCTTTCTTATCAGTGTTTATCAGTGTTTAAAAGAATTGCAACTATACAAATATTGCTGCAATTTTTAGTAATTTATGTCGGTCGACCGACACTTTTGTTTTTGCACAGAAGCTATAATTCCCGTTATTGATTGCACAGCAGGGTTGTTATGTTGAGACATTTTGTGCCAAACGACCAGCAGAGCTTCCGTTTTGATATATTAACCTGTTAATGTAACTAATATTTTATAACAATACAGAAAAAACTAACAACATAAAAATTTTTGGCTTTTACAAAAGTTTTGCCTTTGTCGACCAGAGGATGTACGAGTAATTACGATAAAAATTTGTGCTGATATAAAACCTGGTTTCTAACCGGCTGCCCAAATCTTGCCGTGGATATATGTTGTGAGAGGCTACCGATATAATATAGTATTTCGATATAATTCAGAAAATACTTTTTGACGTGGGTACGCCGCCATGCAACGCGATACCGGCAACATGTGGCGATCTAAGACGTGCAGTCCCGACATGCCTAACGACTGTAAAGGGCCTTTTGGGGAGAACTTCCTACTGCTCACCTGCCGCGGTTCCAGACTGGACCAACCGAAAATGATCGAGGTCGCGATGAACATAAGCCGAATCAGTCCACGCCGACCTGTGGCCATCCATTTCGAACGCGTGGAGAGTATGAGCGGACCCACACCGGACGTCCTCAAATCCGAGGTCATCGAGCCATTCCGTAACCAAGTTATCGAAATCAAAATGCGAGGCCGTACTGGCTACACGGACAAAATTACCGGCAACGTGTACGAAGTGGGAATGCTACCGAATCTGTATCGCTTCGGTATCTTTCACTGTATGGGTCTAAAACTGCAGAAAAAAGATTTCTCCCGAATGCCGCAAGTCAAAATGATTTACATCGAATTGTCCAGCATTGAAGACATGGAGCCATATACTTTCACCGATTTAAAGCATCTGCAGCTTCTGGTGCTGGAGTCAGGCGCATACACCGGCATTAGTCAAGTGGAAACATACCGCAGCATCGGCCGTCCCGACAGAGCCCCGCTGCAGGACAACGATGTGGAAAGGGTGCGAAAGCTGCACTGTGACTGCAAATATGCCTGGTTTCGTAATTTCCTGACGAAGAATCCTTCCCTCATTGCCAGTAAGCAACCAGGTGAAGCGTATGCCGTGGGAGCCTACAAATCACCATGGATATTCATTCAAAACGCTTTGATACCGGATGTCCTTAGTGTCGATTGCACTCGTCCCCTCGTTATAGACAACATCCGCCGCAGCAACGGTTCCCTGTATTCCTATAATTCACCCTGCTTCAATTTAAAGTGTTAAAAAATGCGTAAAACTACATGTAGTTGATGGACTGTTTGCTTGGGGATGGATGTTCTTTTTTGTTTTTGCATTAACATTTTTGCATAGTGAGTTTCGTCTGTGCTGCTTCCGTTGCTGTTGCACTTCTTCAGTTTAATCTACCACCGCTGTAGCGTAACTGGTAAGGCTTTATTATTAAAATCACACTGGTCAGCTAGACAGGGAAACGACAATTAAAATTATTATACATAGTAAATTAGTAATACAACATAGTGACAGCCACAGGAACTTTAATATCTGTACGAGAACATGTTAAACAGGTTGCTAACCAATAATTACCGTGACCTTTGTACGTACATTCACTACTTTACATAATATTATAATTATTATACTACAACTACAAATTAATATTAATGGTATTTTCTACACAATGCAATTTACGCTGCTACTCGATATCTTTAACTAACTGTAAGATGGTTCACTCTGATGCTAAGCTGATTTTGTAAAGTAGTTTTGTAGTATACGTACTCGTAGGTGACGAATAAAATCGCCTTTCATTCCACCGCAACTACAGACGAGACACGATTACTAATACCGTGGATGAAGCCGAAACAATTAAATGGACATCAGCGCATAAAGAACTGCGGTAAACACATACTGTGGTCGTTCTTAAGATTGTTTGGATCTGTTCTTTTTTGGATCTGTTTGTTCTTAAGATTGTATAATTTTTAACAACTGTCACACACAACTGTACTGGCAGGTAACAGATAATGCACCTTTCATCAACGTGCAGTTACGTGCAAGAAGTGCAATAATTATTATCTTGTGTAAAAAGACTACTCCCGTCTCATACCATTAAAGGCCTAAATAAATTATTAGTTTTATATCGTTTAGAATTGTCGGCATTATCGAATTTATCCTTTCATGGTTAGAAGTTGTCGGCATGGGAAACACTTCGTTTCGTTGCGTCTCATGAGAAGTTTCTTGTAATTCTTCAAAGAAGTTCAAGTACGTTTTTGCAATTATTTTTATGCACTAAGAAAAAGGTGAAAACATTGAAACAAATTTGTATCCTGCAACAGAAAGAAAATTCAATCAACAAGATTGTGACTTTGTGTGGAACATCTCAAAGCGCGTGATCAAAGGTGAAATGGACTGCCTGGGAACGGATTTTGCTTTTTCATAACGTTGCTATCTGATTTTTATGTAAGACACTTTAATTTCACTGTGAACCTGTGAAAAGCCTTCCCGTAAACCGTCCAACCAAGAACAGCATATCCAATTACACCGCAGCAAAAAATTTAATATCATTTCAGCTAAAGTGATAGTACTCTTTTGAAGCGCATACGGAGTAACAACATTCTGATCGGCTCAAAGATTAAGCTGGCGACCAACGCTGAACAATCTGATACTAGTTAACAACCGGTGCCTTGGAGTTATATCGTGGAACACAATATAATCACAGGGAAATTAATTTTAAAATTCAGTTGCAGCAATTTCGCGGTAGGCAACAGTATCAGTGTTTTCTATCCCGCGTTAAAACTGTGCGTAACTTTGCTCCTTGACCGGCCGCAGAATGTTGCAGAAGTGGCTGTTGCTTATATTTACAGCGGCTGTGATTACAACGCCCTTGCTCGGTAAGCGAAATTTGCAATGTTGATGATTCTGTCCTTCTACAAAATTGAGAATTTTCTGAGTTCGGAGGCGTCCTTTGTTTCCTACCCTAGTTGTTTCCTGCTCATGGTTAGTATGCTGTGCACGTATAATTTCACACCAACGTCAGGCAAGTGCAAAATTGTTTTGTAGCTCTGGACGATCAGCTCGAGACTGACTGCAACCAACCAAGTGCAACGGACGACAAGACAGCTGCGTCCACGCCGCAAACGGAATCGCCGTACCGTCTCGACAATATAACCCGGGAAGAATGTCGCAGCTACGCCGCCATGCGACGCGATACCGGCAACATGTGGCGGTCCATGTCGTGCACTCCTGACATGCCTGGTAATTGTGATGGGAATTTCGGAGAAAACTTTTTGTTGCTCACCTGTCGCGGCTCCGGACTAGACCGACCGGAAATGATCGAAGTCGCTACGAATATCAGCCGAATCAGTCCACGCCGACCCGTGGCCATTCATTTCGAACGCGTTGAGACTTTCAGTGGACCCACACCGGACATTCTCAAATCCGACGTTATCGAGCCATTCCGTAACCAAGTTATCGAAATCAAAATGAGAGGCTGTACGGGCTACACGGATAGAATTACCGGTAACGTGTACGAAGTGGGAATGCTACCGAACCTGTACCGCTTCGGTATCTTTCACTGTATGGGTCTAAAACTACAAAAGAAAGATTTCTCCCGCATGCCGCAAGTAAAAATGATCTACATCGAACTGTCCAGCATAGAAGACATGGAGCCGTACACTTTCACCGATTTAAAGCACCTGCAACTACTTGTGCTGGAGTCGGGCGCATACACTGGCATTGGTCAAGTGGAAACCTACCGGGCCATCGGCCGTCCCGACAGAGCCCCGCTGCAGGACAGCGATGTGGAAAGGGTGCGAAAGCTGCACTGTGACTGCAAATATGCCTGGTTTCGTAATTTCCTAAGGAAGAATCCCTCTCTCATTGCCAGCAAGCAACCAGGTGAAGTGTACGCCGTCGGAGCTTACAAATCGCCCTGGATATTCATCCAGGGGGCATCATCTCCTGATGTCCTTAGTGTTGATTGCGCTCGGCCACTTGTGAAGGACAATATCCGCCCCAAGAACGGCTCCCAGTATTCTTATAACACTCAGTGCTACAATCTAAAGTGCTAAATAATTCAAACGTTTTCTGTGTTAGGCAGTGGATGCTCTTTGCATAGCGCTCTGGGATACTAGGTTTGTTTGGTGCTACTTTTGCTTATTGCTTTTTGCTGCTCTCTTAATCAAATAACCTCCTATCCCATTAACAATGTTAGCTTATTAAACAAACAGGTTAGTAAATACTAAATAGCTTGCGAGTGAAAACTGACACGCCACAGAATCTTAGATACAGTACGAAACATGCAAACAACTCAACCCATTAAAATGCTGTCAGTATTAATAGTCACAACACAGTAAAATAGTCGCAGTGCGTCTTAAGCCACAGTCAAACTGACGAGTACAGGTTATTGTCAGTAATGATGACGTATTGAAGCTGTACTGACGTACGGGAGACGCATTGACGTATTGATTTGACGGCATAAGGTGACATTCGAAATGCTCGGAATGGCCCTTCTTCTCTCCGGTCTGCATGATCAGAATGACGTAACTGATAAGAAGCCCAAACATCTGCAAAAATCCCAGATTGCTGAAATATTAACTGCACCCGACGCAGACCACTCTTCAATTTACTGCATTTCGCATCTAATAATCTTTTGAAATCGTGTTAAACAATTTCAATAAATACCGTCCCAACAAAGGCTCTGTCGACGCGAACCATCCCGCACACTGTGAAATTACACCGGTTTATTTGTTATTTGGTACAATCGTTGAAACAGCACATTTCTCCTCGAGGGACTTTGTTCTTGTTGCAGCAAGCGCCGAACTGGATATGTCATGTCAGCCTGAAGAGGGAACGCTTACGCTTCCTCTATCACATGAAACTGCGCTAAAGAAAAGTACTGTAATCCCACCTGTTCGCGGACATACAACCTGCCGCACGTAACACCAGCTCCCATAAAGGCCTCCATTAAAATTATTGTGATAGCACTTTCTAACGGCACAGATCCCGCGTGTCTGTACGTAGCGTTGATAAACCACATAATCCAAATTTCAAATTTTAAAATGAATTTCAAAAATTTTAAAATTCATTTTAAAATTAGAAAAAAATCGTGGAAGTCTGGATCGGTGTAAAAACGATCTTCATGGCCATGTGCATTTACCTTCGCCGAAATCCCAATGATCCCAAATCCCTAGAACAGCATTAAAGTTAAGATCATATTGCAATAGACCAGCGACGGAAACCAGCAGATGACGACACACAGAGTAAGCAAGGTCGCTGCTACAAACGGTCGCGATCGACCTTTTCCGTTGGTGAGGAGGCGCTCTGCGAGCTCGAGCTTCGTTAGTTGATGGGTTTTTTCGGGGCGCAGCATCTGATGATACGGATCGTAATGTGGCTCGCTTCTTCATATTTATTTGTTGAATTACCCAACTTCGTGGGAGGGCATGTAAGTAAACATTGTGATACTGTAATGATGTGAAATCGGTTGCTCTTCAGCAATGCTCTCTACGTGGCCATTGAAGGCCCGTTAAAAATCGTGATCATGCCGTATTCATACTGGCCGATTGGCGTTTCGGCATGCAGATTGCACATCTACTTCATCCAGATTGTCGCGCGCGCCGGCATAACCGTACATGCTTATTTGTTTATTAGCCTGACGCGTGCGTCGGCAAATTTTTGGCCGATATACTTTCGCGACCGTCACTCCATGGCGGTCGCAGCGGGTGTTTGTGTGTCCATGGTCTTCTGCGTTCATGTTATTCTCTTACCGGGAGAGATCCTGGATGCCGTGTACTACCGTATTCCCGGGGAAAAAGGTCGTTGGTAGGACGACCAGGCCCAAATACTGTATCCGCTCGCACATCTTGAACCACAGAGTTTGTGTACGGGAAAAACACACATTCAATATACACACTCTAACCGGGCAAAATGCACGACTACGAAATATTGCTCATTTGGTTTCAAGATGAACAGTTCTTCTTGTGAATTTGTCCAATGAACCAAGACTTTTCATTTAAATACTGTAGCAGTTCACTCTGGAAAAAAAGGTTCCGCAGCTGAAAGCTCGAATTGTTCTGTGGTTCATCGCCATCAAGAATGTTGACGCTGAACGTACCCATCCCCCTCCAGGGGTACCCCAAAAACCACAACAAATCAGTTTGTAACTCGTGCATACGGCAAAGCTGTATGTTAATGGCTGCTATTGAGCATAAACATGATTAAAATTGTTAGAGCTCTAATTTTTTTTTAATATTCAAGAAGTTCTCCAGACCAGATGTTGCAAAGACATCAGAAATTTATCAAATCGAGAATCGCGCGTTTGGCCCGGTTAGAGTGTGTATATTGAATGCGCGTTTTTCCCGTACACAAACTCTGTGGTTCAAGATGTGCGAGCGAATACAGTAACCTGGTCCATCGTCAGTTCCATTGTAATTTCACGACATGCAAAATATTCATTCTTGCTTGTTATTCGTTTTTGCTTTGCCACATTCCACATTCTTTTGAGAGAAGACTGGGGTTGGCTTCAGCAAGGACGACGGAGTCAATTGCCCGGTGACGCATGTTCCGGTGCTAGTGTCTTCATCTAGTGCTCAAATAAATCTTAATAATTACGCATCGTCGCTGTTGTTGCCGTAGTCCGCATTAAAGCCAATAAATTGACAGGCTGGGGTATATGTAAGCTGCCCTGTTTATGACAATATAACAGAAAAATGGAGTTGTTAAATAAATACAATAAAAGAAGCCAAATACAACATAAAAAACCTTCGGAAAATAGCAAATCGCCGATATTTCTGCGCCCGGACATTCGGGGCGCAAAGCTAAATTCTATGCGCCCGGTTTGTCGGGGCGCATAGCAGTTACCTTTTATTTAATAGATACCGGAAACCCGGAAATCCTAAAAGCAGTGGATAAACCTGATGCTGAAACTGCTTGGAAATTTATTAAAATGGTTCAGTTTGTGTGTAATGTTGACTCGCGCGGCACAAATCGCAATAACTGCCTATTTCGCAGCGAAGCCAACGAGCTATTTTCTGCAAAAAGCTGCTCATTAAAAATAGTAGAAGTATATCCCCCAATCTTTTAAAGCGAAATCACAATAGTATGTATAGAACTTGCAGAAAAGTGAACATTCGCACGAAGCCGACGCACGAAAATTGTATAAAAAAATGGAAATTATTAGGAATTTCTTGTAAAAAGCGTATAACTCGAGTATCGTTTACTGATAATCGATAGCAGAAATGATTCTTGAATCATTTGACCTTTGGGTCTACCACTCTTTTGGTATAACACTCGCACAGCTGCGTGTTTAATTTACGCTGCATTTCATGGTCCATCGCGCAGACACTGCTAAGCAAAGCCTTTGGGTTTGCGCAAATCTGGTTCAAGACGGCACATTCACCACTGAAATGATTTACCTAATTTATCGTTTCTGTGTTTTAACCTAAAAGCCAGCCAGTGTGTATAGAGGAAGCCGGTGCTGGCGCATAAGAAGCCTACTAAGTAATATGTGTGGCCACCATTGTCATGGAAACTAAAGGTACAGCCGAGCTTTTGCTGAAATGAAAGCTTAAGCATTTTCACTACTGTATCCAGTACTTTGACCATTACCTTCCACCAAGTACGCTTCGCACTAGTTACAAGTGCTTAGTACCAAACTGGCGTACAAGATGAGTGAACCAAAAAAAGTTTTGAAACTAATAAACCTACGTGCAAACTGGAGAATACGTAAATAATAGGCGTAAATAATATATACGCTAAACGGCCATCACGAGATACTGTGTACTACGTTGGTTCAATGAAATGCTGTTTTTTCGTCTTATTCCGATAGAGGTTCGTCATCATTCTAACAATTCTTTTCAGTACAAAACGTGCGAGATTGGTACAAAAGCTCCTCAATAAAATAATAATTAGTTTTGATTCACCTCAAACAATTTTATGTGCATTATGCACATTGCCGTCAGGCGCGCTGCTTCAACCTTACAAAGCAGTTTTTGTACTTCTAGAAGAGGAAAGCGGGCCCAGATTACTATTTGAATCATTATCTGATTTTACTTCTATTGTGGAATTTATTGGACAAATTAACAAAATAAAAAAAGCGGTGATGAAGAAACCCCCGGCCCCCAAGGGGGCCATTCATATTTCAGGAAGGGTAAAAAAAAATTAAATTACGATTACCGCGATATTTCGTTCGCGTGGTTTCTCGACGACGGAACCCTAGGCGGCAAGCCAGCGGATGTAGCGCATGCCTTCGACCAGGTTACCGCAAGAGCACGCGCTATTGGCCTAGTGGTAAACGAAGCAAAGTGCGAGCTTTATGTTTCCGGGGGAACGGAAAAAGCACGGAGTGACATCATTGCAGACTTTTTGCAGAAATACCCGAAACTTCGCATCCTTGCAAACGCTGATTTTATGCTGTTAGGAGCACCGGTTCTAGACGAAGCCATGGGGTCAACAGTTGCCGAGAAATCCTCCACCCTGAAGATAGCATGCGAGCGTTTGGCACTCTTACCACGACATCATGCTCTTTTTCTCCTAAAAAGCTGTCTAGGAGCTCCCAAAATTGTCTACATGCTCCGTTGCTGCAATGCCTGGAAACAACCGCAACAGTTGTACCAACTGGACGAAGTTATGCGCAGCTGCTTTCAGTCCCTGTGCAATGTACGTACCAACCACGACGACTTCCCATGCTGGCGGCAGGCGACACTACCAGTGAGCAGAGGTGGCATAGGCATTCGTCGAGCGGAGGAATTAGCACTCCCAGCCTATTTGGCATCGATTCACTCCGCGTCCGATTTAATGTCTAAGCTGCTACCTGATCACCCCCCCGTTAACACTTCCGCTGCCTTGGAATTGTGGAAAACGAACGCGCGCCTCACTGATCTTCCTGAGCCTAACTTTAGGAAGTTACAACGGTCCTGGGACTTACCGCTGTGTAATGCATCACTATCGACTCTCTTGGACGTTTTCCGCCATGACGAAGTAAACAGGGCTCGACTCCTGGGTCAGTCGACACCAGAAGCCGGTTTATGGCTGAATGCCTTGCCCTCGGCGCATATCGGTAACCTTCTCGATGATGAAACTGTAATGATATCGGTCGGGCTGAGACTGGGAGTTGCAATCTGTGAGCCTCATCTTTGCGCTAAATGCAACAAACCGGTCGACGTGTACGGCCACCACGGCTTGTCCTGCTCTTTTTCGGCCGGAAGACATGCTCGCCACGGTGGCTTAAACAGTATTGTGTGTAGAGCGTTGGTATCAGCTGGCATCCCCGCCAAAGCGGAACCACGGGGAACTTCCCACACGTCAAACAGACGTCCAGATGGTTGCACCACCTTCGCCTGGAAACGCGGTATGTGCTTGGCATGGGACGTGACATGTGTGGACACTGTCGCTATGTCACATCTGCGAACAACTTCAACGACAGCAGGATCCGCTGCCGCACAAGCGGAAGAGAAGAAAGTGCGATTTTATTTGTATCTGGAGGGTAGATATATCTTCGCACCGCTGGCTTTCGAAACACTTGGTCCATGGGGAAAGTCAGCTACCCGTTTAGTGAAAGAAATCGCCAAGCGGCTTCAGCAGCACACGGGAGAGCCACGCTCGCACGAATTTCTCCGCCAGCGAATGTCACTGGAAATTCAGCGAGGAAACGCCGCTTCCGTGCTTGGAACAATGGAAGGAGCGGCGTCATTAAACGAAATTTTGTTTTTATGATTAACTGTTTATAACTGTGATGTTACCGCGTTTCAATGAAATAAAGATCTCTCCTTTCGTTATTGTTACGGAAATTCCATTTCCAAGCAATACCATTACAAAGTATTGCAATTCCAATAAAAACGGTTGCCCCGAGACACTTCGATGAATTAAACTGTTGTCTGTGCAACAGTTGGTACGCCATCAGACAGATTCATCACACATTTTAATTCTCATTCGTAACAACACGATCGGCAATACTGTTGGACAACAAGAACCATTCTTCACTTTCCTGATCATTCAAATGACGATCCGAACTAACTAAAATTGACGACCGACTATCAAGAAGACGTGAAACTGAAGGTGTCGAAAGAAACAAAGCAAAAAGCTACAGATTCTGCAGTGCATACATCAACCATCTAAAACTCTGTACAGAAGACAATTCAAGAGAAACGTTATATCTGTAGACTCTGTACAGATCGAGGTAAGCTACTATAAATCTCAATACTAAATCAACGAAAAAACTGTTGCAGATATTATAAAATAAAATAAGCGCAACTGGAAGTGCGTTTGTAACATAAAAGCAAAATCAGTAAAAGAAATACCGTCACATCTCGGGTGGAACAAACTAAACCCGCTTCGCTCTTTCACCTGTGCGGCGATCCGCATTTTTCCGCCCATTCACTGGATTCACCGTGGTGTGGTAGCGCTTGTTGGTGCGTTTCACTAATTCCCGCGCACGCTCTCCGTCCGCAATCAAGGCAGTCGGACAAATGAAGTCGACCTCCTTGTAAAAGCGCCTACAATGATAGAAAACTTTGAGACCAGAACAATTACGCAAATTTGAGTCACGAGTGACACTTGCACATTTACGTTTG